TAGAGACATATGGCATGTTATTCGTCGTTTCCGTCAATAGTATCAAATAATGTTTTATATGATGATATTGAAGATATTACAAATGTCCTAAATGAATTTTTCACTGATCAAGCAAGAGTAAGAAACCCCGATTCTGACCTTCCATCCATTGGACCATATACAATCGACGATCCATTACTATCTGTGAATTTAAATCAAGAAGAAGTTCAAGATATTCTTCTTTCTGTAGATACAACTAAGGCAACAGGGCCAGATGGTATAGGTAACAAGTTACTTAACTTAACAGCGACTCGTCTAGCTCCAATCCTGACAAAATTATTTAACTTGTCGCTCAAAAACAAAACCTTCCCGTTAGTTTGGAAACAAGTATCAGTAACACCAATTCACAAAAAAGGCGATGTACATGAATGCTCAAACTATAGACCTGTAGCGCTTACATGTTGCTTAGCCAAAAATTTTGAAAAGTGTATATTCAAATATGTGTTTAACTTTTTCAGAGAAAACGAATTGTTGACAAATTTACAGTCGGGATTCGTGCCTGGCGATTCCACATCTTATCAACTCACTTACCTATATAATTTTATTGCTAGGGCATTAGACGAAGGTAAAGAAATCAGAGCTGTTTTTGTGATGTCAGCAAAGCCTTTGATATAGTATGGCACAAAGGAATTATTCATAAACTCAATACTTACGGTATCCAAGGTGATCTTTTGAAATGGTTTGAAAGTTACTTAGAACATAGAGTCCAAAAAGTAGTCATTAATGGTTATACCTCAGAATCAAAATTTGTACAAGCTGGGGTCCCCCAAGGGTCAGTCCTTGGACCACTGCTTTTTATTGTTTATATAAATGACATTGTCGAAGGTATCGAGAGTAATATACGCCTGTTCGCAGACGATACATCTATATATGTCATCATTGATGATCAAATCTCTGCAGCAAATTGTATCAACAATGATTTGGCAAAAATCTCAAACTGGGCCCAAACAAGTAGGTTTCACTCCCGATAAGACCAAAACTATAACATTCAGTCGCAAAGACAATTCTGGTTTTAGACCAAACTTATACATGGAGAGTACTGTTATTGAAGAAGTACAAAGTCATAAACATTTAGGAATTACACTTCAATCTGATTGTTCATGGAAAAAACACACGAACGAAATTATTAGAAAAATCAGTCCAATGATCAACTGCCTAAGGAGCTTTGAATACAGACTAACAAGAAATACGCTTAAAACTATGTACACATCTTTTGTTCCTACCAAACTTCGACTACTGCTGTCATATTTGGGACAACTGTACACACGATCAATCATTGTTACTCGAGAATTTACATTTGGACGCATTGAGAACTATTTGTGGGGCGGTTCGGGGTACCAGTCATGTTAAAATTTATAACGAAACAAACTTTCAGTCCTTAAAAGAACGACGACACCGCTTCAAATTGATTACATTTTACAAAATGAAAAACAGTATTTCACCTGTACATCTCAACGATCTCATTCCAAGTCCAGTCTCTGATAATAGCAATTATAACCTTATAAATAGATCTAACATACAAACAATCAGATGTAGAACCCAGACCTATGCTTAATCATTTCTTCAGGATACGATTAATCTGTGGAACGCTCTACCCAATGAAGTTACTAATTCTTGCTCGTTAAAAGAATTCAAATCCTTAATTAGTCGTTCTGATACAATTATTAATAATTTTGACCTAAAATACGGTCATAGATCATGCCGAATTGTCCACTGTCGCCTTAGGCTCGGCTGCAGTGACCTAAACGCTGATAAGTTTAGACGACATGTATCAGACATATCAGACTGTTCTTGTGGCTATCACTTTGAAGACGCAATTCACTTTTTCTATACCTGTCAAAAATACCATAATATCAGAAACGCTACGTACTTCTACACACATGGATATGATAAAAAAAGAATATTACATGGCAATAGTTCAGTTAGCAGTTCTACAAACATGACTATTCTTAAATCAGTTCACGATTTCATTGTCAAAAGCAAAAGATTCGAGTAGCTTAATTTTATGCATGTAGTAATGGAAAACTGCTATATCTTATTTCACAGACACCACTTGTATAGGCTTCATATATTTCATTTGTGCATTTAGTATGTGTATGTTTAGCACTATCTTACATATAATCTGATATATAACCAGTTGTTGTAAAGTTATTACCTGGAGAGGTATTTACATAAGCAAGTTTTGCTTGTTTACCGATCCAGATTTCTTTTGAAATAAAAATATGTTTAAACCATATGGCATGTTAGCGAAATATGGCATGTTAGAGATATATGGCACGCTAGAGATATATTGCATGTTAGAGATATGTGGCATGTTAGGGATATATGGTGTGTTAGAGATAAATGGCCATTTAGGGATATATCGCATGCTAGAGATATATGGCCTCTTAGGGATATATGGCATGTTAGGGGCGTATGGCATGTTAGAGGTATATGGCATGTTAGGGAAATGTGGCATTTTAGAGATATATGGCCTGTTAGGGATATATGGCATGTTAGAGGTATATGGTATGTTAGAGGTATATGGGATGTTTGAGGTATATAGCATGTTATAGGTATATGGCCTGTTAGGGATTTATGGCCTGTTAGGTATATGTGGCATGTTAGAGATAAATGGCCTGTTAGGGATATATGGCATGTGAGAGGTATATGGCATGTTGGGGGTGTATGGTATGTTGGAGATATATGACATGTTACCGACATATGGCATGTTAGGTATATATTGCATGTTAGGGATATATGGCATATTAGAGATAGATGGCCTCTTTGGGATATATGGCATGTTAGAGATATATGGCATGTTAGGGATATATGGCATGGCAAGGTTGTATGGTATGTTAGAGGTATATGGCATGTTAGGGATATATGGCATCTTAGAACTTTTTTTATATTCGTTGCCATCTCTGTCAACCACCAATTAGAATTTGACAGGAGAAATTGCTGTGAAATCTTAAAAAATGACAGATCACAAACATAAATAATCAAACTCTCGTATCATAAAAATGTCAGTTTATCTGCATCCTTTGTTGTTGAGTATTTTAGCCTCGGCACCGTTGGTTCCAGCGACCATGTAGTGCTGAGAAAAAGTTCAGAGGATAGGTTTAAATAGCGTCGCAATTGGTTACGTCATTCTTCTTATCTAAGACGGTAAGTGGAACTGACAGACGTGTAATCGTGAGATAGGTTTGTGTAACACCGTGTTCGTTATGATACATGGGGACAGTTAGATTTCAGTCAAATTCAACTGTTTAATTAGTTACCTTTTTATAATTTGAGGTGAGGTGATATGGGTTTCCCCTTTTCACGAAAACCTGATTTCTATTTGATAGTGATTCATAAACACATGCTCATGATATAGTCGGAAATCGTACAATCGACTCTGCTTTATGCAGAGATTTCTATTGGATGTGGAAAGGATTTTGTAGCTCTATTTTGTGATCCGTTCAGATGATTTTAGCTCTTATTTCTAGCTGCTATCGTTTTATATTTAACGGTGTGTTCAGGCTTATTGCACTTATATATGGGCGCGGATCCATTTGTGTTTCAGTACATACGGGTACGTGCACAGACAATGTGTCACGGTCTGTATATTATCATTACCGGTGAAGATAGCGAAGGGTGGCCCTGTCATCCGAGGCGTTGAACGTGGTTTGGTTTGGTTTGGCTGTTGTTTGCGCCGCAGTCAGCAATACTCCAGCAATATGGTGAAATGTGCTTCAATCATATCACGATGGGCATGCGCGCGCGCGTGCGTGTGTGGATACCCCACTCAGACACACTATTCTGACTCCGAGCCGAACAGTCCTTGTTTTAGCCCCTCAATGCCGAGCGCCAGGCAGGGTAGTCAGTACTTTCTGTTTACGTCTTTTTGTGTGACGCGGCAGGGAAATATGCTTCAGATGGATACATCTTTCAGATACAAGTGATCATTATTCCTTTGCATAATCGGGTGAGATCATGTATAATGTGTCAATTAACACATGAAGTGAATGTTTAAGTTTGCTTGTATGTTGCAAGTGGTATACTACATACTACGAGCTGCATCTATTGAATTAATAATAAAATGTGGCAACATATACGTTATGCTGTGGAGATACAATTGATCTCTAAAAACCTATGCTGATCAAAACAGGCGACTTGGATCAAGTGGTCAGACACAACGACCTTGTTTGATTGAGTTTCATTGTGCATTGTCGTTGCTCATATCATCAGCAAATGAGACTCCTACGAAGCCCTACCAAGTCTAACCCGCCCAGAACTTTTCGGAGAATGTGATCCCCAACACTGCAGCCTTCTTCATTACCCAGATTGTCAGAAGGGCTGTATTCCTAGTAGCAAACCCGGGTACTCTCCCAATGTCAGTCAACAGATTGGGAGGTACCAAACCTAAGGCACCGAGAACAATGGGTAGTCAGACCACTTGGTACTTGGGATGCAAGCGTGACGTCAATTCGAAAGCGATGTCTGCATATTTGCCATGTTTTTCCTGAATCTTGTCAATCACATTAGTGTCAAAAGGGACAAAAAAAATCAATAATATAAATGATTTCATTGGATTTATCAAAACGGACAACATTAGGTTTGTTGGCCTGGATACGTCTGAGGCTGTATACGGCCTGTTCCAAAGAATCTTGTATTTATCACATTCCATGACGCCCTCTACATATTCCGGGTCGTACCATGAATGGACCTCTGCGTCAAAACCACAAGCATTGTGAAGACGGTCATAATGATCGAGCCACTCCATCATGTCACTTAAGATACTGTGTTTGTGCCAAAGCTGGGCATCCACTGACAGTGTGTTGGACAATCTCATTAAATTCATTACATAATCTACATTTCGTATTGACATTTTGATGCAAAATCACACATTGATGGTTTCGGGTGGAAAGTGACTGGTCCTGAGCAGCATACAGAAAGCCTTCTGTTTCACTTTTCAGGCCAGACGACTTCATTCAAGCGGAAGAGTCTGCAGGGTTGTTGAACTTCTCAACACAATGCACATAAACTCGATGCAGTGGTCGTTCAGATAGCCTCTCCTTGAAAAACTTTGGGCCGATTTGATATGGCACTTCGCTTGGTCGAGATTCATTTCTGTACCGTCCAGCAGTACAGAACCATCAACAAAATCAACACTGACATTGAGATTATGTCCCACATCCTTGGCTCGTTTACGAAAACTGGGAAATGCCTTGTTTCCATCATGAGTCTAGACATGCTTCACAAGAGGATCATGAGACAAATAAATGTGCGCAAAAGTACACAAAACAATTCTATCATGAAGAGCCCCAAAATTTATCAAACCACGCCCTCCCATTATGATTGGTAAATATAAGCGATTGAGGGAAGAGCGTGGGTGGTAGAATTTATTAGTATTATTATTATTAGTATTAGTATTATTATTATTATTAGTAGTAGTAGTAGTAGTAGTATTTCCATCGTCGTCTTCGTCGCGATTGTTTAGTTTAATACATGTGTAAAATCGATCACTATCAGGTAACATAGGGACACACAATGTTGTGGCTCTTGGGTGCTCGTCTCCCAGATAGTACAAGACAGACATTGTGACACAGAGTATGTGTATCTCCAGATCGAACATGACACTATTGTGACATGCGTTGTGTTTGTCTCTAAGGTGAAAAACAACAACATGAAGGTAGCCATCTTCCTCCTCTGTCTCCTGCCTCTGGCCTTTGCTGAGAAAAGGGAACTGCTAGGAAACAGTAAGTGTCACGACACATGTACATGTACTATTGGGCATATACATGTACACATAAAACTAGAGTTTCATATTGTATTTGAATACACACACACAGTCATCACACAATGCATATACACTAACGCCAACCCCACCCTTCCCCACCCAACCCCACCGTCACACACGTTCTTTGACTGCCAAAATAACAAAAAGACGTCACAGTTTCATACAAGGAACGCCTTTGTTTGAAATGGACAGCATTAAACTAATCACAAGAATACACGATCAACGTCAATGTCACACAACTTCAATGTGGACGTATTCATATTTAAAGGCATAATTTTGTTTTTGAAGTTCTTAACGGCGGCCAAATTCAAAATCTCATCACCTCTGTGATTAAGAGGTATGGCATACATGCAAACGTGTGGCAGTGTGAGAAGGAGTGTCTGGAACTCTTCACCAACCACATCCTCGACCTCGGCTGCGACTTCACCTGCAAGGGGTAAGTCAATCGTTTAAAAGACAGAGAATGGTTCAATCACTGGTGTTATGCTTCCGAAACTGCAGAGTTTGTGATTAGAATGTAGGGTGATTCTCATCATCGTGTATTATGAATCATTGGACCACAATGCTCTGTAACATCCGGGATTCTTATACAGTTACACAGACCAGTGATGTCACAAGTCAAAATGGCTGATAGCGCCCTGTGACGTTAATGTAACATTAATTTCTTGTTGCAGTGATCTTTAGCCTTATACAGCAAACTATATGCATCCTTGTTGCAGTGATCGATAGTCTCTCATAGCGCACTTGCGGCATTTTTGTTGCATTGGTCAATAGCTTCTTATAGCACATTGTTGATTTCTTGATGCGATGATTGCCCAGGACTAAATCGTTATTTTCATTAACAAACTGTTTTTTTACAGAATCCAGAGCCTTATTCCGCACCAATTTCCCACGACCCATGGCGTACACCAAAAAATAACTACCCTTGGCGCTAACCACCACCCAACCACTCATGCTGCTGCCAAATAAAGTATCTGTAATCGTTCATGAATAAATGTAACTTTGCAACCATGTAATTTATGTTGTTTAAAATGAAATACTGAAGCACTATCTACGCATATGCGCTTCATACGCTGTCCGCAAAACGTTTCGAAAATTACAAAGGACAGGGAGGTGGGGGGTACTCACTGGTTACGTTGTTAAGGCGTTTTCGATTCTCCTCATAGTTACTGCACGTGAAGCGAAATCCTGATTTCCCCGAATCACCACATGCCGCTCTTTGTGCTAGCCATTGAGCAACCGTGCCTCAATTTAACATGGACACCTCACTCAGACAGTATACTGACTCCGAGCCGACCACCCCTTTAACGTCTGTATCTTTGACAAGGCCGGGGTTCGAACAGCTGACCTTCCGCTGTCCACCAGACGGTCACCACATGCAGGGTACGTCAACCTTGTAGGTGAAGCGTCACGCCTCAGTTGTAGCTCGATTTTAAGAACGAGATCTACAAGACGTAATAAGGAAATAACTTGACTTCAACATGGAGGCCCAGACTTCCAAGGCCAATCCCTTATGGTATGGATCAACCGATCATAAGTTCGAATCAGAGGTTCGCCCTGATTGTGATAATTGATTTGGCAGTACTAACATTCGGGCTTGTTAGTTTCACCAAAGCCGTAAACGTCTTTCTCATCAGTTTCCTCCACGTTTCGTTGACACGCACCAATGTAATGAAATACTGCCTAAAGTGGCCCCTTAACACAGTATTTGGAAAACAGGACCATTTGTGAGCATCTAATCCCTACTTGATGCAAATCTTGTCGCAAAAGGCCTAGAAACGCCCTGATGTCGCTCATATAGGCACAGCCAGGCGTCTAGAAACTGCTACCACTGACAATTACTATGTGTTCATGTATGACAGTCGCTGCTTCATACTACACTGGGGGCACGGGTGGCCAAGTCGTCTAAGCTCCGCGATTCGCTGTGCAGAGTTGCGTCCCTTGAGCGAGCCAGAAACCTATGTGTGTAGGTTCGAATCCCGGTTCGCCCCGATTATGTTTCTAGGTTTGTCAGCACCATACCCGTGTTCGTGTGTTTCACCGAAGTGGTAAACGTCTGAGACCTGCATCACTTCGGGCTTTCCTCCCACATTAAGCTGACACGCCGTGATATAGCTGTAATACTGTTAAAAGCGGCGTTATACACAACTCACTCACTCATCCATACTATACTCTCCTCCGTCAAGAGAAGAAAGTTTTAATCCAGTGAAAACTTTATGTAAAATGGACACGTTCATGGAAAAAGTTTACTTATTACTGTATTACTCCAAAAGAACACAAAATACATTCTACCAGCAGGATCATGAACACTGCATGAACATCTGTGTTCGGAGTAAATGAACTGACTCTAGACAGAACATCCGCCATCACGATGTCTTTTCGCATGGTACGTTTGATTTCAAGATTAAATCTTGCAAAGTCAAACGCCAATTCATCAATCTCTGATTTTTGTTCTTCATCTTATCACGAAAAGTCAGTGGATTGTGATGAAAGTAAACTTCAAAGGGATACACTATATAGTTTCCAAATACACGAAAACATGTATTTTTTCTCAGTGGCAAAGTAATCTTTCAGCTGCTTGTAAACTTCCTTTGAAAAGTAACAAATAGGGTGATGGATGTAACTTCCATTTTCTTGTAATAAAAGACCATCAGCACCGATGTCACTCGCAACAATTACCAGCCGAAATATTTTCCCGAAGTGCGGGTGCTTTCAAGACTGGAGAATGCATGATAATGGATTTTACTATTTCCAAAACTGCCTGGTTTTGACCGATAAGTTAGTCACTACATCAGAAAAATGCTCCAGTTTCTATAGTTACCAACCGTACCCGGAAACTTTATTAGTTCTTTTTTGTTTGGCAAAACTTTGAATTTGTAATAGCTTCTACTCTTGTACCTGAATCAAACAGGTGTTCAGTACAGGGTCAGTGCCCGGAAACAGGGACTTAATCTCAGCATGCACAAACAGCTTGAAACCTTCCAACAAAACCATATGCGTTACAACCCTCTAAAAGTGCAAGATAGGTGGACTAATCTCACATTTCTGGTCACATCAAAGTGATCTTGATCATTTTGAGATGAATTGGGGACTGTAATATATCACTAGTAATGTGATATATCTGACCTGCATCAAAAGTAGTGTGGTGTATCTCACCTACATCAAAAGTTCTGTGATATATCAGACCTACATCAAAAGTAATGGATATATCTGACCTACATCACTGGTACTGTAATACATCTGCCTGACATCAGTTGTACTGTGATATATCTGACCGGCATTGCTGGTAGTGTAATATATCTGACCAACTCTGCTATTACTGTAGTATATCTAACCCACTTCATTAGCACTGTAATATATCCACATCACCACATCACTAGTATTATGCTGTGTCTGGCACCACTGGTACTGGGATATTTCTAACACAAGTATGTTCACGCATCGTAACGATCCATGCAGTAGCGCCAGGTTAACACACATTCCCGTTCACACATTGTAACAACACGATCCACGCTGTAAGTAAGACCACGCTCAAGCCCGTCCACATATTGTAACAACACGATCCACGCTGTAAGTAAGACCACGCTCAAGCCCGTTCACACATTGTAACAACACGATCCACGCTGTAAGTAAGACCACGCTCAAGCCCGTTCACACATTGAAACAACGCGATCCACGCTGTAAGTAAGACCCCGCTCAAACCCGTCCACATATTGTAACAACACGATCCACGCTGTAAGTAAGACCCCGCTCAAGCCCGTTCACACATTGTAACAACACGATCCACGCTGTAAGTAAGACCACGCTCAAGCCCGTTCACACATTGAAACAACGCGATCCACGATGTAAGTAAGACCACGCTCAAGCCCGTCCACATATTGTAACAACACGATCCACGCTGTAAGTAAGACCACGCTCAAGCCCGTCCACATATTGTAACAACACGATCCACGCTGTAAGTAAGACCACGCTCAAGCCCGTTCACACATTGAAACAACGCGATCCACGATGTAAGTAAGACCACGCTCAAGCCCGTCCACATATTGTAACAACACGATCCACGCTGTAAGTAAGACCACGCTCAAGCCCGCTCACACATTGTAACAACACGATCCACGCTGTAAGACCACGCTCAAGCCCGTTCACACATTGTAACAACGCGATCCACGCTGTAAGACCACGCTCAAGCCCGTTCACACATTGTAACAACGCGATCCACGCTGTAAGACCACGCTCAAGCCCGTTCACACATTGTAACAACACGATCCACGCTGTAAGTAAGACCACGCTCAAGCCCGTCCACACATTGTAACAACACGATCCACGCTGTAAGTAAGACCCCGCTCAAACCCGTCCACATATTGTAACAACACGATCAACGCTGTAAGTAAGACCACGCTCAAGCCCGCTCATCATTGAAAAACAATACACGATGTTGAGGTTTCAGGTTTGTGGTGTCCGGCAGATTGTATGAGCGGCGGATGCTACCTGTAGGACAGGGCAAGCTTTTCCTGGTGTCATCTCTGATTTTCAGTGATCCATTCATAATAATTTTCACCGCTGTAGATGCAAGAAACACAAACTTCCAACACTCGCACCCACAGAGATTTTTTATTACATGATGTTGAGCGTTAATCACACTGTCCAGTACAAACGTTGAACAATATCCATTCAGATATAATCGTTGGTGAATATTGCAGTGACACGTGTGTTTGTATCTCAGCAAGAACAAGACACACAATGTTGTTACACATCTTGTAGTGATCTCCTTGATCGTACATGAAACGTTGGTGTGACAAATAGTGTGTTTGTCTCTAAGCTCGTACAAGACACACATTGTAGTGTCACCGTGTGATTGACTCCCAGATCGTAGATGGCTATTGTAGTGACGTATGTTGTGCTTGTCTCTCAGGTAGAAACAACATCACAATGAAAGTCGCCATCTTCCTCCTCTGTCTCCTGCCTCTGGCCTTTGCCGAGAAGAAAGCCCTGCTCGGAAACAGTGAGTGTCACGACACAGATACTACTCGACATATACACTTGTTGTATATACATATTGTATCAGAATATACACATAATGCATACGCACCACCACCAGACCCCATCCCACCCTTGCACACGTTCTTTGACTGCTAAAATAACCGTCATGATGACAGAGCAAGGTCAATGTAACACAACTTCAATGTAGTGGTATTCAAATTTAAAGTGAATGAGTGAATGAGTTGGGTTTAACACCGCTTTTAACAGTATTCCAGTTATATCGCGGCGTGTCAGCTTAATGTGGGAGGGAAGCCCGAACTGATGCAGGTCTCAGACATTTACAACTTCGGTGAAACCCACGAGCACGGGTATGGTGCTGACAAACCTAGAAACATAATTTCAATGTATTCAAAGCTCACATTTGTGTTTTAAGTTTTTGACGGCGTCGAACTCCACAATCTCGTCAATTCCGTGGTTGAGAAATTTGGCAGTGATGCTACCGAACAAGATTGTGAAAAGGAGTGCACCACCCTCTTCACCAACGACATCCTCGACCTCGGCTGCGACTTCGCCTACAAGGAGTAAGTTTTTCTTGCCAAATACTTTTTAAAGAAAATAAAGAAAGGGGTCAGTTAAAATGCAGCTTCGTTTAACCTTGAAAACATTGTTGCAAGACCCGTAACGTCATCTGTTGCATTGGTTGATCTGTAAAATATCTTGTTGCAATGTTTGATAGCCTTCAGTTACTATAATGGCGCCCTGAACTAAGTACCACCTGTATGGTCTAGTCTAGTGGACAGAGCGTCTGCCCGGAGAGTAGAAAGTCGGTTGTTCGATCCCCGTTAAAAATATACTTGTTATTTCCCTGTATGGCCCATGATATTAATAGTGAATGGTTTTTTTTCAGAATCCAGAGCCTTATTCAGAAGTTTCACAAGAACTAACCGACGTCCGCTACCACTCAATAAACTGTCTGTCACCGGTCATTAATAAAATGTAGCTTTGCCACCATGAACTTTGTTGTTGATAATAATGTAACAGTGAAACACGATTTATGCCAGGCCTTACATCGTTTAAAACATTGACTATACGAATAGGGCAGTGGTTAACGCGTTCGCTTGTCACGCCGAAGACCCGGGTTCGATTCCCGACATGGGTACAATGTGTGAAGCCCATTTCTGGTGTCCCCCGTTGTGATATTGCTGGAATATTGCTAAAAGCGGCGTTAAACCATGCTCACTCACTCACTCACTGTTGATAATAATATAACATTGAAACACTATTTATGCCAAGTCTTACATCGACTGTACGAATAGAGCGGTAGGGTAGCCTAGTGGTTAACGCGTTCGCTTGTCACGCCGAAGACCCGGGTTCGATTCCTTTTAGGGTACTGTATGTGACGCAAATTTCTGGTTTCTCAAGATAAAACTGGAATATTGCTAAAGGCGGCGAGCGAAATAATAATTCAGTCCCTTAGATCTACAAGATGCAACGTTGTTTTGTTTTGTTGTTGTTTTTGTTTTGTGGTTAACGCCGAACTCAGCAATATTCCAGCTAAATAATCGAGTCTACATCAGACAATACAGTGATTGACATCATGAGCATCGATCCACGTAAATGGGATACGATGACATGCATCACTCACGTAAGCGAGCCTGACCACCCGATCCCGTTAGTCGCCTCTTACGACAAGCGTGGGTGCTGAAGACCTATTCTAACCTAGATCTTCACGGGTGACATGCATGTACATTAACTTAACATGCACGGTGCCTTAACTTAAGATACAAGGTGCCTTAATCTAAGATACAAGGTGCCTTAATCTAAGATGCAAAGTGCCTTAACCTTAGATGCAAGGTGTCTTAACCTAAGATGCAAGGTGCCTTAACCTAAGATTCAAGGTGCCTTAACCTAAGAATGAATGAATGAATGAATTTCTTTATTTCCTCCCGAGTTGAATCCGAAGATTTTACATGGGCAAATACATTATTTACAATACATCAATGAAATTACTTGACTATATACAATGAAATCATGTTATACACCGCTATGAATAAATAATTTACAATGTACATTTTGAGAGTAGTAAGGTATCTAGTAGATATACATAAGGTGTTTCTTTAAATTCCATATGAAGTGGCAGAAAGACATTATGATGCTTTGCCAAGTATCGTAATCAAGTTCGTTAGTCAAGTCATGGACATCTGCACCGAGAAAGAATGAAAGCATATCATCATCGTCAAGCATATCTATTTTCACGTATACATCTACATCAAGTTTATCAATCAGGCATGAGAAGAAATTATTTCTGTCAGGCATAAACATTTCACAGTGCAAAATAATATGGCAATCATAGTCATAGCAATGTCTATTACAATGGTTACATTCTTTCGACACTTTTGCTCTTGATCCGATTTTAATACAAAGTTGCGGGGGTTGTCTTAAATGTGGATAGAGATACATTACATTATAAACAACATGCATTTGTAACCGTTTATGAATTTTATGGTATCGTGAAAGATCTGGTCTCTGTGCTAGTCTCTCTCTCTCCAAATGTACTGTTCATTCTCTGATAGACGTCTGATTACAAGAGCTCGCCAAGCCGATTTAGTTGGGAATGAACCGCTATCAGTATATTCCTTTATATAGTTATCTAAATGATATGTTTTAGCAGTATATAGAAGGATGTTGCATATGCTTACTGGACGGCTAATATTGACAATAGCGTTGGTAGCAATGTGAGCACAAAATAGGTCTTTTGTTATTGAGTTACAATCGTTATTGCAGAGCAGTCCTAATAATTGTAGTCTACATTTATCAATGCAGCCATTCATTGACCACATTCCCAAGTTAGAAATAGACGAATCTAAGGTGCAAGGTATGTTAATCTAAGATGCAAGGTGTCTTAACCCAAGATACAAGGTATCTTAACCTAAGAAGCAAGGTACGTAAACCTAAGATGCAAGGTGCCTCAACCTAACACGCAAGGTGCCTTAATCTAAGATGCAAGGTGCCTTAATCTAAGATGCAAGGTGCCTTAACCTAAGATGCAAGGTGCCTTAACCTTGTGGTAAAGCTTCACGTCGGAATTCACGTTACGTTTCAGTAACACAGACAGGTACAATGCTACAAAGACAGACACAGTATTACACAGACGCAGATTTGGTGCAATGGTACAATGACTCAGATTTGCTGCAATGTTACACAGACTCAGATTTGCTGCAATGTTACACAGACTCAGATTTGCTGCAATGTTACACAGACTCAGATTTGCTGCAATGTTACACAGACTCAGATTTGCTGCAATGTTACACAGACTCAGATTTGCTGCAATGTTACACAGACTCAGATTTAGTGCAATGCTACACAGACTCAGATTTGCTGCAATGTTACACAGACTCAGATTTGCTGCAATGTTACACTGACTCAGATTTGCTGCAATGTTACACAGACTCAGATTCGTCCAATGTTACACAGACTCAGATTTGCTGCAATGTTACATTGACTCAGATTTGCTGCAATGCCACACTGACTCAGATTTGCTGCAATGTTACACAGACTCGGATTTGCTGCAATGTTACACAAACTCAGATTTGCTGCAATGTTACACAGACTCAGATTTGCTGCAATGTTACATAGATTCAGATTTGCTGCAATGTTACACAAACTCAGATTAGGTGCAATGTTACACAGACGCAGATTTGCTGCAATGCTACACGGAAGGGTGTAATGTCGGATAACTGATCAACTGGCTGAGTCATTGCAGCTAGGGAATGCTGTATAAACTTGGAAGGGATGTTTAGAAATTCAAAGAGTACAAAGAAACAATTTCAAGAGTCAGATATCTCCGTACTGCTGTGCGACGTTAAGAACAAACAAACGATTACTTTATGTAGCGGGTTCTACCGGTAGAGCAGGTCTTGCTAACCTTGCCATCACTGATATTTTCTGAACTGAGTCGAAGTTTTGGGGGATGGCGTCTCCGAGTTTCATCACAATCTCAGCAGCATCTGTAACTTATGCTGAGTAAACTTCAAAAACATCTTTGGGTTGAGACATTAAAATAATTTAATAATATAAAATAATATAATTTTCACAACTATTTTGCATTTTTGCAAAATGGAGTCTGTTTGGGCGGATAATCGAGACTGATTATTCCCTGGCGTTGACTTTGTATATTTGTAGATGCTCCACCAATGCTTTTAAATAGAAGCCACAAAAACCCTTTCCATATCCATAAGAAATATCGATTGTACGATTCCGACTTTATGCTGAGCATGTGTAGATACCAGGTGTTCTAGAAAACCCAAGTTCATCACGATTGCATGTATATACGAGGAGTGTAGGAACCGTTCTGCGTCTGACTATGATGGACTGCGTAGATGAGTTGATTGTTAATTGTTTGTCAACATCCTCCCCTCGAAGGTACGCATGTCTGTCAACGATGCTGGAGTGCGTGAACAGCGAAAATAACGTCATCATCATTTGCATAGTGCTTCTCAACGTTTTTCTTCAATTTAGGAAGAGGTTATGGCAGTGCCAAATCTGGTGAATAAGTAGGCTGTTCAATTAGGTCAAATCCACAGGAATGCATTGCGGGTTACAGATTGGCGCACAGTTACATGGTCCGGCTGAACAACACACATTTGGTGAGTTTTCCACGACGTTCAACCTTGATAATCTCACGATAATCCCAAGGCAAAGTTGCATCATGTTGGCCATCGATGGTATGTTTCAGGAGGTAGTCCGCCAGTAAGATACCTTTGTACCCCTCCCCTCTCCTCCCCAAATTCAACGCAGAAAGGAATAAAGAAAACAAACAAAAAGACCGAAGCCATAACCTTGCTAGGTTCTTCTGGAGCAAATATACTCAACAACAAAAGTTCCTGTGACACCAATATTTTAGTGTATATTTCAAACAAGTCAAGTTTGGTTTTCAATATTGTAGTACATGTATGGAATCAAGTCACAAAAACGTAACTGCTACAGAAAAGCATGCATTCCATGCAAAAGTTGACTTTTAGGCAAGCCCGATGCATTTCACTACCCAAGAATGGGTATAAAAACATGTGCTTTAACGGGATTTATTTTTTAGCATCTTGCTGACAACAACCACTCAGCAAAACAACAAAATTACGCAATTATTGAACATTACGAAATGCCACGCCTGTCCGAAAATGAGCGTCTGTGGGCCATTGGTATGCTTGAACCAGGATGATGTTGCAAGAAAATTTAACGTCCACATGCAGTCAGAGACCATCCTCGGAGTGGCAGGCCACGTGTAACCAATAATCGACAAGACAACTGGATTCGAACAACACACCTACGAAATAGATTCTAGCCAGCAACAGTGACTGCAAGAAGCATCCCTTGCCTTCGACGAATATCTTCACAAACAGTACGTCGCCGCCTCAGATGTGCAGCGATTGTCGCCAGAAGAGCCGCAAGACGTCCCATTTTGACAGGAAATCACCGTCAAGCACGTCTACAGTGGTGCAGACAGCGTCTACGCTGGATGGCCATGCAGTGGGGACAAGTTCTATTCACTGACGAGTATCGTTTTCACCTCAGCCACAGCGATGGACGGATTCGAGTGTACCGACGTCGAGGTGAACGTTACGTCAATCATTGTGTCATGGTAGAAGATCGGTTGGGGGGCGGCAGCGTTATGGTATGGGATGGGATTACAGCAAGACAGAGGACCCGTTTGATAGTAGTAGAGGGAAATCTCAATGGACAGCGCTACCGCGACGAGATCATCGGCCCTGTTGTTCTACGGTTTTTGCGTCGTCATGGCCCAGGCATTACCCATCAGACAACGCCCGGCCTCATATTGCTCGACTTGTTCAGGATCTCTTCAACAAATCGAGCACATGTGGGATGAGATGGATCGGCCCCTTTGACGTCAACCACGTGTTCCACAGACAATCCAGGAACTTCGAAACATGCTCCAGCAGATATGGACAGATATCCCACAGGACTTTGTGCGACGCCTGGTCCATTCCATGAGACGAAGATGTGTTGCTTGCATTGGAACCAGAGGTGGATACACATGCTATAGATTTGTAAATTGACATTTTGGTATGTTCATGGTTTTTTTTATGAAATCACGCATTTTCTGAAGTCAGTATGGCAAATTAAACCATTTGAACACTTTCAGGAGTCTGTTATCTGTTGCAAACCGAAATTGTTTCAGATTTGGTAAAAAACATAACTTTGCATTGAATCGTATTCAATGTCACAGGAACTTTTGTTGTTCAGTATAGATCAGCGTGCTGAAACCCTATGTCATGCCAAGTTCATTCATCAGAATATTTTCAACCCTCTCATGGGAGAAACCTATTGTATCGGCTATGTGACGTATGGTGTGTCGTCGATCATTGATAATCAAATCATGTATTTTATAAACATTTTCCATTCTGATGACGGTTGAAGGTCTTCCTCATCTTAGATCATTTCCGGGGCTTTCTCTTACCCTCTGAAACTCCGCTGCCCACTTCCTCACAGTCGCACAGGAAGAAGCATCGTTCATTCAAGCAGATTTAGTCGTTTCACGGGAAAAACTTGGTGACAGAGCAGTAGATAATTTTGTCCCGTTTCATCAAAAGAATACCCAGTCATTTTAAAGTGTGCAGAAATATGCTGCCTGGTTGTGAATTTGGTTCAAATGCAGCCCGTAAGCCTGGAACGTGTTGTAAAGAGTGTCTTATCCATCCTTCGAAGTTAGTTACTGTCCAAAGTGGGTAAAACTTAGACAGAGCAAATAAAACTTGAAACATATCCTTGAAGCCTCACTTTCAATTCCCTTCGTATGAACAAGAAATGAACGAGACAGGTGGAACAAGATTCAGAGTGACAAAAAACTCTCCAAGAGACTGTATGAAAAAAGAGATGACTTCAACTTTCCCTTTCTGTCGAGCAATATTCCATCAGCTCCAGCCTACATTTCAGAACCTTTGAGATACAATCGAGCATGCTCTTTCTACGAACGTTTTGAAGAGCGCCATTCGGCTCTTGCTGAATAGTTGTTTGATCAGGGATACAACACTCAAGGCCTCAATAACGTTTTAAAGTAGCTTGTGGAGGACGCTTCAAAATGTGACGTATCACTTACCACAAAAACAAATCCATGTTTTACGTGTACCATATGGTGTGGGTTTATTTTAGGTAAATATTTGACTTGCCGTTGTATGTCTTTCTGCGTGTGCCGACGGTGGGGCAGGATAGGCTTACCTGTTTCCGAACACCTCGTATCGTCACTATTTAATAGTGATTCATAAATATATGTTATTTGTATATTCAGAATCGTTTAAAGGAAATTTCTTATGGTCCCATGTAACAGCGACGTAGTTTTAGTGTTGGAATCGCACTTTGGACTCTTTACGTTTAGCCAAATTTCTCATGATTATGTAAAGGGATTGTTGCTTTTTATTAAAAAGTCTACTCCAGAGATATTTAACCGAGTTCTTACTTTTTCGTATGTTTCATAATCTAGTAGCGTGACACATGTTTTTTCTTGTTCGTTTCCCACAATATCGGCCTATTCACCCGATAACGCATGGAATTTTTTATCTTGACGTCCATTGGTTGCAGTGGTCACGTTATGCAAAGAAAAAACTATATAAAAAGCGTAATAGTTTGTAAACTCATTCTCCTTGTCTCAAACGGTAAGTGGAACTGCTGGATAGTGACTGTCGCGTATGGGCGTCATAAATGTTAGCATAACGCCATTGTGGTTACGACAAATTGTACAGTAAGGTGACAGTGAAATGTTTTAATTAGTCATATGTCCATCTTGTATGACACGCTTAAGAGGGGATGTGAAATAGGTTTTAAGGTCGCGTTCACGATACTTTCACTTCCATTGAGACATGCAGACATGTGTGCGCGTGGCTGCTTGTACTAGCCCGGACGTATGCCTGTTTGATAGTGCCAGAACCAGAGATACCATGCCGCAGTTTAACATTGAAACCCACTAAGACACACTGTGTTAACTTGTAGCTGGCCAGTCCTTGTTTTACCTTCTTAAGGCCCACCGCTAGACAAGGTAACAACGAATACCATCGTCTAAGGTCTTGTGTGACGTTGCCAGGAAAATATGCTTTAATTTGGAAACATCTTTCACACACAACGTAATCATAACGCCTGTGCATACGTGTCCTATTATACATGTCAATTAACATATGGAATAGTTGTTTTAAGTTTGTTGCATGTTTAAATGATGTACTGTAAATAAAACTACACTCGCATTAATTTGGTGACGCATTAATTTCACGAGTAGCATGCTTCATGTTGCAGAGGTCGTTTGATTGAATCACGGCTAGCTACTTCGCATTCATGTTCGAATTAACGCTCCACGTTCATGTGGATGTTTCTGAATCCTATACCTGCAACAGGCTATAGGCTTATTTGGTGGAAAGATTTACAATTTCGTGATATAGCATTAGGCTCGTTGTACGATTCGGACTACACCATAAGCATATGTTAATGACTCACTGTCAGTTAGTGAGGTTATCAGGTGTTCGCTAAATGTCTTCTGTCACACCGGTGGCATCTGTAACCAACACATGCAAAGGCAAGTCAAATGTTCACCCGCACACAATAGTGAATTGCATCGGACAAGATTTGGAAATGTCCTTTACATGTCTGGTATAAAACAGCCCAGTCTCCAGTTAAACATTTCACTTACCTACCGTTTTGTTAAGACCAATGTGCTTATGGTCATTATGACATTCATCATATTATGTTTTAGAGGCACATTGCGAAAGATTGACCGCTTTTCGTGTGGGGATTGAAAGTTGAATCATGTAACTGTGTTCATGTTTACACAGCAGTTTGTCATACTCTCGAATCCAATGATGTCACCTTAAAATGCGATGACTTCAGGATACAATGAATGACGTCACTTGCTTCCGAGACAAATCAATGCGTCGTCGTCCCGATCGATACTGATAGGAAAGTAACACTCCATTGAGATTGCCAAAAAGAACTCATATGTAGTAAAAAGCCCGAAAGATTTTCGGGTTTCGAAACACGTTTAGTTTTCCAAAATAGACGTAGAAAGGATACAGCAAACGTTGCACTCTCTGACTGAGCCTAATACGCAGTTATTACATCACGCTAATCTGGAGCACCTGGGCAGTGGTTCGTCGTAAGCTCAGAAGGAAAATTAAGACAACAATTGATGTGATCACAGTCAACTTTCCCAGTAAGGTCGAGCTATATTCCTGCAGCTCCAGCCTTTGGTCTTTTCAATTAACAACTTTGAGGTGAAAAAGAGCATGCTCTTTCTGTAAGATTTCAAAGAGCGTCATACGACTCTTGCTTAGAAGTTGTTTGATCAAGGTTACAACATTCAAGGCCCCAGTAAAGCTTTCAAAACTTTTTATGGTAGGCATATGGAGGACATTTCCAAACTTAACGCATCAGTGACAAAAAAAGATGTCCGATACAAGTCCCTTTTATGATTTGTACCATATCTTGTGGTGTTTCGGCATGTGAATGAATGGACTTGCCTTTGCGTGTGTTTGTGACCGGAGGGCAGGATAAGCTCACCTTTTCGCGACTACCTTGTATCATAACTATTTGACAGTGATTCATAAACATGCTGCTGATGGGGTTGAAATCGCTTAATGGACTCTGCTTTTGGCGGAGACTTCTTATGGAGATGTAAATTGTAGTGACGTGTCTTGTGTTGTTGTTTTTCAGGTAGAACATAAACCACACATCACAATGAAGGTCGCCATCTTCCTCCTCTGTCTCCTGCCTCTGGCCTTTGCCGAGAAGAAAGCCCTGCTCGGAAACAGTGAGTGTCGTGACTCTGATACTATTGGCCATGTGCACTGTTATTTACAGTTTCATATTATATTGGAATTACACACACACTCACACGCACACACACGAGCTGGCACACACACACGCACACGCACGCACACACACACACACACACACATACATACATACATACACACACACACACACACACACACACACAGACATACATACATACATACATACATACATACATACATACATACATACATACATACATACATACATACATACATACATACATACATACATAAAATGCAAAATAATGTCTTATTCTCACAGTTTTCTCTTTTTCATACAAGGAACTCATTACAACAACAGCCCCCAAGATCACAGGAATACACGAGCATGTTCAATGTCAAATTTAAATTATTTTGTCTTTTAAGTTCTGGACGGAGGCGAAATTCACAAACTCGTCAGTTCCGTAATTGAGAAGTTCGGCAGTGATGCTACCGAGGCACAGTGTGAAAAGGAGTGCACCACCCTCTTCACCAACGATATCATCGACCTCGGCTGCGACTTCGCCTGCAAGGGGTAAGTCATAGTTTTGCATTTATTTTACAGAATGAATGAATGGGTGAACCAAAGGGGGCATGCCTAGGTTTGGGATTCAAACCTAGGATGATTCTCAACGTGGTGTAACCTTGTGCTATAAAAACATATGAGGCTGCACGGTGTTACAATAGCCCTCAGAATCACATGTTGCAATGGTTGATAGAGTTTGATAACATTCACGATGCTATCTGTTGTTTCAATGACCATGTGTCATCTGCCGCAGTTGTTAACACTGCTCAGTAACACCTAACGAGGGGGGCACGGGTGGCCCAGTCGTCTAAGGCGACGCAATTCGCTGAGTTGCGTCCCTTGAACACGCAAGAAACCTAGGATTGTGGGTTCGAATCCCGGTTCGCCCCGATTATGGTTCTAGGTTTGTCAGCATCATACCCGTGCTCGTGGGTTTCACCGAAGTGGCAAACGTCTGAGACCTGCATCACTTCGGGCTTTCCTCCCACATTAGGCTGACATGCCGTGATATAACTGGAATAATGTTCAAAGCGGCGTTAAACCCAACTCACTCACTCAGTTACACCTACGATGATATAGGTTGTTGCGTGTTGTGTGTCATAAATTTCATTAGCCTCCTGTAGTGCTACATATTGTTGCTCTTTTGTTGCAATGACCTAAGATGGAACTTCATGTTGCAATGATCGATAACCTTCTTATACAACTTTATGTTGCCTTGAACTTAATAATTATTGCTGTACATTTAGGTTTATAACTTAACAAACCGCTTTTGAAAAAGTGACTATTTTGTTACAGAATCCAAGGCCTTATTCAGAAGTTTCATCACAACTCTGCCCCTGCCACCAACTAGAGCATCTGAAACCAGTCATGAATAAAGTGTAACTCCCATAGCAAGTCTCTTTTTACATTGCTATGGCATACTGAAGCATAAGACAGTCACAGTCCATAAAACGTGTTATCAACTTGCACAGGGCTACTATAACGGGGTGGTGGGATAGCCTAGAGGTTAAAGTGTTCGCTTATGACATGGACTGACTTTGAGCGATTCCAGATACTATGTGAGAAGCCCGTGTTCAGACTGTACAGCACGGAAAGGTTACATACGTGTGACCTTCGCGTCTGGAATACTGAAACAAGGCGACATAAAATATTTCACCCTGTCACTAGTTACTGGTATCCGTTTAGAACAACTAGATATGCATGCATGAGTCGGTGCAAGATAGTATCGCCCACCTCACTCACTCACTCACTCACTCACTCACTCACTCACTCACTCACTCACTCACTCACTCACTCACTCACTCACGATGGAAATTAAAAAAAATATATATCTTTATTTAAATATTTTTCCTGGACCGAGATCCTGGTCCTTGTCTTTACAAGATCCACGTGTGATCAACTCCACTTGTCTCATATATTCTCGGAAAGTATTTAATTTAGCTTTATTGTTGTCAGAATTATTGTTGGTAGTGTTGATAAGGATTTGATGGTACATTTCCTGGACCTTACAAATTAATGTATCTTAGGAATATATGGATTCTTAATAAGAATGCAGTTATAAAAACACCAGAGGATAAATTTCATTATCTGCCGAACCGGACTCCGTTGTTCGCAAAAGGCAAAACAGTGATGAGAGCAATATATGTTTGGATCACCGAAAACTATTGATGACACCAGGTGTTCGCGAAAATGACAGGTACGTCCAGCTCTACTGGTAACTCTCGCCACAATTTGCATAAACAGTAAGCGTCTGTTGCCTTACGTCGTTCCAAGCAATAATCCTGATGTACATCGGCGTCCTGTAAACATTGAAGTCTGGACCAGAGTTTCAGGTAATAGTGAGTGGGGGCCAAACACTGTAGTGCCACGATAGTGTATTCGGGTGGAATGGAATACTCCTCACGTGTTATAGAAATTCAACGATTACCTTGAAACAATTCATGATAGTCACATATTTCCTTCTTCGGACAAAGAACTGGATTTTGTACGTTGGGTTAGTAGATATCCATCACAGTACCTTGTACAGATAGTTCATGACGATAGTATCCATATTTGATTGTTTGTTTGCTGTTTAACGCCCCACTCAGCAATATTACAGCTTTATGACGGCGGTCTGTAAATAATCGAGCCTGGACCTGGCAATCTAGTGATTGACATCATGAGCATTGAGCCACGCAATTCGGATACGATAACATGCATCAACCAAGTCATCGTGCCTAACCCCCCGATCCCGTTCGTCGCCTCGTACGACAAGCACACCTTTTATGGCAAGCATGGGTTGCTGAAGACCTATTCTACCCCGGATCTTCACGGGTCTAGTATCCATATACGAGGGTTGGCTGAAAAGACTGTGTTGGACTGTGTTCATGGAGTTGGCAATCCCATTACAATCAGATCTCAGTTCTCACTACCGCTAAACAAAGATGTCAGGACATCCGGGAGATAGTCCGCAGTAGGACTTACTTGGAACCCCAGAAAACCGGTATCTTAGGAAGAGGAGGCGTTTGATTATTCCACTGTTTCGTTGGTTTCCATGGTTTCTGTCTGATAGTGTCTGACATGCTCTCTCTCCCTCTCTCTCTCTCTCTCTCTGTCTCTCTCTGTCTCTCTCTCTCTCTCTCTCTCTCATGAGAGACGCCTCTGTATTTGCATGTGGTGTGTTGCAAGACGTCGATCATCCATACTGATATCCTGTAAGTTATCAACACTTTCTTAATGGTGGCATTTGAAGGTCTTCCTGATCTTGGATCATCTTATAGACTCTCTGGCGCGGTCGGTTAGCCTAGTGGTTAAAGCGTTCGCTCGTCACTCCGAAGATCCGGGTTCGATTCGCGACAGAGGTACAATGCGGAAAGTCCATTTCTGGTGTCCCCCGCCGTGATTTTGCTGGAATATTGCTAAAATCGGCGTAAAACCATTCTCACTCACTCACTTATACACTCCCTTGAACACCAATGCCTATCTTGCAAAGGATGGAACATCATCCCCTAAAGTTGACATCATGTTCCCATGAATGGCTGTTGGACTTGTACGAGGGGTGTTCATTAAAGATTTCCCCTAAACCACTTAGGGTTATCATATTTGGTTGAAATTTCACATGTGTAATGATACATGTATCTATGGGTTATGTCTGAATTTGCAGCACCGAACTATTAATCTTATCACTTTAACAGGTGTTATGATCGAGTAGGGTGTGACAATGGAGCCAGTAGAATACCGAGCAGTGATTAGGTTTTTATATTTGAAAGGTCGCACACCAAAAGAAACTTTCGATGAAATGAAAGCAACTAATGGGGAAGATGCCCCATCATATAACACTGTTTAACTCTGGCATCGCCAGTTCAAGTGTGGTCGGACATCTGTGGAAACAGCTGCCATTCCTGGTCGCCCCCATTCAGCCATTGATGAGGACACTATCCATCAAGTGGAGACCGCATTTTGGCAGATCGACGTATAACTGTTCGCCAGTTAGAAAAAAGATGTCAAGATCAGTGTAGGGTCTGTGGAAAAAATCATCCATGACAATTTGAAAATGCATAAGGTGTCTGCACGATGGATTCCCAGGTTGCTCACACTTTTCCAAAAGCAGGAATGAGTCAATTGCTCAAAGGATCTTTTGGACATGTGCCAAAAAAACCCAGGCAAACTTTTTTGACAGACTTATCACACAGGGTGAAACATGGGTCCATCACTATGATCCTGAGACTAAAGTTCAGTCGATGCAATGGAAGTATGTGGAGTAACCACCCCCAAAGAAGGCACGTGTCCAACCCTCTGCAGGCAAGGTCATGCTCACGGTGTTTTGAGACCAGCACGGAGTAGTGATGATGGATTTCTTGGCAAAGGGTATCACAATTACAGGAGCTTAATATGCTTCACTGCTGCGGAAATTGCGGGACGCTTTCAAGCTTAAGATGCGTGGCATGCTGACCAAGGGTGTCTGTCTCCTGCAAGACAATGCTCCAGTACACAACTCTCATGTTGCCCAGACAGAAGCGCGGTCCTGTGGCTATGAAATCCTTCCACATCCTCCTTACTCTCCTGACCTTGCACCATCTGACTTCCACCTCTTTCTAATCATGAAGTCATATTTTAAGGGAAAACGTTTCACAAAGTCAAGTCCAGGTTTGAGACGCAAAATGAGGGCTTTTACAAGCGTGTCCATAGTTGCACAAAACGATGGGAGAAGTGTGTAACTTTTGGTGGTTCCTATGTGGAGAAAGACTAATACCTATGCCAATTGTCATTCCACTAGGTCCATCGGAAGTGGGTCAGGGGAAATCTTCAATGAACACCCCTCGTATTTCAGTTGGAGATATTTGATGACGGCGCAGAAGCCAGTCTCATCAACAGAGTCGACCTTGTCACTTTGATGCCTGCATATATATGCAACCGTAAGGTAAGGCACTAAGTACATGCAACCTGTAGCGGATGCACTATACAACTCCTTCCTCTTGGATTCACATATATAGAGATATTAGTGGACACCGTCTGCATGGTTGTCTGCATCTCTTGTATTTATTATTCATAAATACTAGTATTAATTTGCTCTCACCACATCACCCTCTTCCCATACCCATCAAAGTCAGATCAGTAATGGAGGATGAGTTTAAAGAAGGAAACTTTACTTCAAGCTATAAACGTGGTTTTAATTGGAATCGCACTATGGACTGTGATTATGAAAGGGATTGTTGCTTGTATTAAAAAATCTGCTTCAGAGATATTTAACCGAGCATTATTTTGTATGTTTCACGATCTCGTTGCGTTGCACATGTGTTTACTTGTTCGTTTCCCACAAGATCGTGCTTTTCTCCAGATAACGCATGGAATTTATAAACTAAGTGTCCATTGGTTGCAGCGACCATGTGATGCTGTGAAAAAGTTCAGAGGATAGGTGTATATAGCTTCACACTGTGTTAAGTCATTCTTCTTATCTAAGACGGTAAGTGGAACTGATAGACGTTTAATCGTGTAAGAGGTGTGAGTGTTATACCGTGGTGGTTATGACATATGGGGGAGACTTAGATTTCATTGAAATTCTACAGTTAAACTGAAATCAGCTTCCTAAGGTACCCAAGTATCTCGAGTATCGAGCATCTTCACACTTATATGGGGTCGCGGATCCATTTGTGTTTCGGTACATACGGGTACGTGCACTGACAATGTGCCACGGTCTGTATATTATCATTACCGGTGAAGATAGCGAAGGGTGGCCCTGTCATCCGAGGCGTTGAACGTGGTTTGGTTGGGTTGTTGTTTGCGCCGCAGTCAGCAATACTCCAGCAATATGGTGAACTGTGCTTGAACGTCGCCTTTAAGATTCCTCGCTCATGTATATGTCTCACTGTTTCTGTAGTGTGTTTGTCTCCCATTTAGTACAAGCCACGCCGTAGTGGAACACACCACGTTCCACTGCAGCTTGGCTTGTACCAGTTGAGAAAAAAGTCACCACGTTCCACTACAGCGTGGCTTCTACTAGCTGGGAGACAACGCTGTAGTGGAACGTGGTGTGTTTGTCTCCCAGCTTGTACAAGCCATGCTGTAGTGAAACATGGTGTGTTTGTCTCCCAGCTAGTACAAGCCAAGCTGTAGTGGAACGTGGTGTGTGTGTGTGTGTGTGTGTGTGTGTGTGTGTGTGTGTGTGTGTCTCCAAGCTAGTACAAGCCATGCTGTAGTGGAACGTGGTTTGTGTGTGTGTGTGTGTGTCTCCCTGCTAGTACAAGCCATGCTGTAGTGGAACGTGGTGTGTTTGTCTCCCAGTTAGTACAAGCCATGCTGTAGTGGAACGTTGTGTGTTTGTCTCCCAGCTAGTACAAGCCATGCTGTAGTGGAACGAGGTGTGTTTGTCTCCCAGCTGGTACAAGCCATGCTGTAGTGGAACGTGGTGTGTGTGTGTGTGTGTGTGTGTGTGTGTGTGTGTGTGTGTGTGTGTGTGTGTGTGTGTGTGTGTGTGTGTGTGTGTGTGTGTGTGTGTGTGTGTGTGTGTGTGTGTGTGTGTGTGTGTGTGTGTGTGTGTGTGTGTGTGTGTGTGTGTGTGTGTGTGTGTGTGTGTCCCAGCTAGTACAAGCCATGCTGTAGTGGCACGTGGTGTGTTTGTTTCCCAGCTAGTACAAGCCATGCTGTAGTGGAACGTGGTTTGTGTGTGTGTGTGTGTGTCTCCCAGCTAGTACAAGCCACGCAGTAGTGGAACGTGGTGGGTTTGTTTCTCAGCTAGTACAAGCCATGCTGTAGTGGAACGTGGTGTGTTTGTCTCCCAGCTAGTACAAGCCACGCTGTAGTGGAACGTGGTGTGTTTGTCTCCCAGCTAGTACAAGCCACGCAGTAGTGGAACGTGGTGTGTTTGTCTCCAAGCTAGTACAAGCCACGCAGTAGTGGAACGTGGTGTGTGTGTTTGTGTGTCTCCCAGCTAGTACAAGCCATGCTGTAGTGGAACGTGGTGTGTTTCTTTCTCAGCTAGTACAAGCCATGCTGTAGTGGAACGTGGTGTGTGTGTGTGTGTGTGTGTGTGTGTGTGTCTCCCAGCTAGTACAAGCCATGCTGTAGTGGAACGTGGTGTGTTTGTCTCCCAGCTAGTACAAGCCACGCAGTAGTGGAACGTGGTGTGTTTGTCTCCAAGCTAGTACAAGCCACGCAGTAGTGGAACGTGGTGTGTGTGTTTGTGTGTCTCCAAGCTAGTACAAGCCATGCTGTAGTGGAACGTGGTGTGTTTGTTTCTCAGCTAGTACAAGCCATGCTGTAGTGGAACGTGGTGTGTGTGTGTGTGTGTGTGTGTGTGTGTCTCCCAGCTAGTACAAGCCATGCTGTAGTGGAACGTGGTGTGTTTGTCTCCCAGCTAGTACAAGCCATGCTGTAGTGGAACGTGGTTTGTGTGTGTGTGTGTGTCTCCCAGCTAGTACAAGCCATGTTGTAGTGGAACGTGGTGTGTTTGTCTCCCAGCTAGTACAAGCCATGCTGTAGTGGGACGTTGTGTGTTTGTCTCCCAGCTAGTACAAGCCATGCTGTAGTGGAACGTTGTGTGTTTGTCTCCCAGCTAGTACAAGCCATGCTGTAGTGTAACGTGGTGTGTTTGTCTCCCAGCTAGTACAAGCCATGCTGTAGTGGAACGTGGTGTGTGTGTGTGTGTGTGTGTGTGTGTGTGTGTGTGTGTGTGTGTGTGTGTGTGTGTGTGTGTGTGTGTGTGTGTGTGTGTGTGTGTGTGTGTGTGTGTGTGTGTGTGTGTGTGTGTGTGTGTGTGTGTCTCCCAGCTAGTACAAGCCATGCTGTAGTGGAACGTGGTGTGTGTGTGTGTGTGTGTGTGTGTGTGTGTGTGTGTGTGTCTCCCAGCTAGTACAAGCCATGCTGTAGTGGAACGTGGTGTGTGTGTCTCCCAGCTGGTACAAGCCATGCTGTAGTGGAACGTGGTGTGTTTGTCTCTCAGCTAGTACAAGCCATGCTATAGTGGAACGTTGTGTGTTTGTCTCCCAGCTAGTACAAGCCACGCAGTAGTGGAACGTGGTGTGTGTGTGTGTGTGTCCCAGCTAGTACAAGCCATGCAGTAGTGGAACGTGGTGTGTGTGTGTGTGTGTCTCCCAGCTAGTACAAGCCACGCAGTAGTGGAACGTGGTGTGTGTGTGTGTGTGTGTGTCCCAGCTAGTACAAGCCACGCTGTAGTGGAACGTGGTGTGTGTGTGTGTGTGTGTGTGTGTGTCTGTGTCTGTGTGTGTGTGTGTGTGTGTGTGTGTGTGTGTGTGTGTGTGTGTGTGTGTGTGTGTGTGTGTGTGTGTGTGTGTGTGTGTGTGTGTGTCTGTGTGTGTGTGTGTGTGTGTGTCCCAGCTAGTACAAGCCATGCTGTAGTGGAACGTGGTGTGTGTGTGTGTGTGTCTCCCAGCTAGTACAAGCCATGCTGTAGTGGAACGTGGTGTGTTTGTCTCCCAGCTAGTACAAGCCACGCAGTAGTGGAACATGGTGTGTGTGTTTGTGTGTCTCCCAGCTAGTACAAGCCATGCTGTAGTGGAACGTTGTGTGTTTGTCTCCCAGCTAGTACAAGCCATGCTGTAGTGGAACGTGGTGTGTTTGTCTCCCAGCTAGTACAAGCCATGCTGTAGTGGAACGTGGTGTGTGTGTGTGTGTGTGTGTGTGTGTGTGTGTGTGTGTGTGTGTGTGTGTGTGTGTGTGTGTGTGTGTGTGTGTGTGTGTGTGTGTGTGTGTGTGTGTGTGTCTCCCAGCTAGTACAAGCCATGCTGTAGTGGAACGTGGTGTGTGTGTGTGTGTGTGTGTGTGTGTGTGTGTGTGTGTGTGTGTGTGTGTGTGTGTGTGTGTGTGTGTGTGTGTGTGTGTGTGTGTGTGTGTGTGTGTGTGTGTGTGTGTGTGTGTGTGTGTCTCCCAGCTATTACAAGCCATGCTGTAGTGGAACGTTGTGTGTTTGTCTCCCAGCTAGTACAAGCCATGCTGTAGTGGAACGTGGTGTGTTTGTCTCCCAGCTAGTACAAGCCATGCTGTAGTGGAACGTGGTGTGTGTGTGTGTGTGTGTGTGTGTGTGTGTGTGTGTGTGTGTGTGTGTGTGTGTGTGTGTGTGTGTGTGTGTGTGTGTGTGTGTGTGTGTGTGTGTGTGTGTGTGTGTGTGTGTGTGTGTGTGTTGTGTGTGTCTCCCAGCTAGTACAAGCCATGCTGTAGTGGAACGTGGTGTGTGTGTGTGTGTGTCTCCCAGCTAGTACAAGCCACGCAGTAATGGAACGTTGTGTTTGTTTCTTACCTAGTACAAGCCATGCTGTAGTGGAACGTTGTGCGTTTGTCTCCCAAGGTAGTACAAGCCATGCTGTAGTGGAACGTGGTGTGTTTGTCTCCCAGCTAGTACAAGCCATGCTGTAGTGGAACGTGGTGTGTGTGTGTGTGTGTGTGTGTGTGTGTGTGTGTGTGTGTGTGTGTGTGTGTGTGTGTGTGTGTGTGTGTGTGTGTGTGTGTGTGTGTGTGTGTCTCCCAGCTAGTACAAGCCATGCTGTAGTGGAACGTGGTGTGTGTGTGTGTGTGTGTGTCTCCCAGCTAGTACAAGCCACGCAGTAATGGAACGTGGTGTGTTTGTTTCTCAGCTAGTACAAGCCATGCTGTAGTGGAACGTTGTGTGTGTTGTCTCCCAGCTAGTACAAGCCATGCTGTAGTGGAACGTGGTGTGTTTGTCTCCCAGCTAGTACAAGCCATGCTGTAGTGGAACGTGGTGTGTGTGTGTGTGTGTGTGTGTGTGTGTGTGTGTGTGTGTGTGTGTGTGTGTGTGTGTGTGTGTGTGTGTGTGTGTGTGTGTGTGTGTGTGTGTGTGTGTGTGTGTGTGTGTGTGTGTGTGTGTGTCTCCCAGCTAGTACAAGCCATGCTGTAGTGGAACGTGGTGCGTGTGTGTGTGTGTGTGTCTCCCAGCTAGTACAAGCCATGCTGTAGTGGAACGTGGTGTGTTTGTCTCCCAGCTAGTACAAGCCACGCAGTAGTGGAACGTGGTGTGTGTGTTTGTGTGTCTCCCAGCTAGTACAAGCCATGCTGTAGTGGAACGTTGTGTGTTTGTCTCCCAGCTAGTACAAGCCATGCTGTAGTGGAACGTGGTGTGTTTGTCTCCCAGCTAGTACAAGCCATGCTGTAGTGGAACGTGGTGTGTGTGTGTGTGTGTGTGTGTGTGTGTGTGTGTGTGTGTGTGTGTGTGTGTGTGTGTGTGTGTGTGTGTGTGTGTGTGTGTGTGTGTGTGTGTGTGTGTGTGTGTCTCCCAGCTAGTACAAGCCATGCTGTAGTGGAACGTGGTGTGTGTGTGTGTGTGTGTGTCTCCCAGCTAGTACAAGCCACGCAGTAATGGAACGTGGTGTGTTTGTTTCTCAGCTAGTACAAGCCATGCTGTAGTGGAACGTTGTGTGTGTTGTCTCCCAGCTAGTACAAGACATGCTGTAGTGGAACGTGGTGTGTTTGTCTCCCAGCTAGTACAAGCCATGCTGTAGTGGAACGTGGTGTGTGTGTGTGTGTGTGTGTGTGTGTGTGTGTCTCCCAGCTAGTACAAGCCATGCTGTAGTGGAACGTGGTGTGTGTGTGTGTGTGTGTGTGTGTGTGTGTGTCTCCCAGCTAGTACAAGCCATGCTGTAGTGGAACGTGGTGTGTTTGTCTCCCAGCTGGTACAAGCCATGCTGTAGTGGAACGTGGTGTGTTTGTCTCCCAGCTAGTACAAGCCATGCTGTAGTGCAACGTGGTGTGTTTGTTTCTCAGCTAGTACAAGCCATGCTATAGTGGAACGTTGTGTGTTTGTCTCCAAGCTAGTACAAGCCATGCAGTAGTGGAACGTGATGTGTGTGTGTGTGTGTCCCAGCTAGTACAAGCCATGCAGTAGTGGAACGTGGTGTGTGTGTGTGTGTGTCTCCCAGCTAGTACAAGCCACGCAGTAGTGGAACGTGGTGTGTGTGTGTGTGTCCCAGCTAGTACAAGCCACGCTGTAGTGGAACGTGGTGTGTTTGTCTCCCAGCTAGTACAAGCCACGCAGTAGTGGAACGTGGTGTGTGTGTCTCCCAGCTGGTACAAGCCATGCTGTAGTGGAACGTGGTGTGTTTGTCTCCCAGTTAGTACAAGCCACGCTGTAGTGGAACGTGGTGTGTTTGTCTCCAAGCTAGTACAAGCCACGCAGTAGTGGAACGTGGTGTGTGTGTGTGTGTGTCTCCCAGCTAGTACAAGCCATGCTGTAGTGGAACGTGGTGTGTGTGTGTGTGTGTGTGTGTGTCTCCCAGCTGGTACAAGCCATGCTGTAGTGGAACGTGGTGTGTTTGTCTCCCAGCTGGTACAAGCCATGCTGTAGTGGAACGTGGTGTGTTTGTCTCCCAGCTGGTACAAGCCATGCTGTAGTGGAACGTGGTGTGTTTGTCTCCCAGCTAGCTATATATATATAGTACAAGCCATGCTGTAGTGGAACGTGGTGTGTTTGTTTCTCAGCTAGTACAAGCCATGCTATAGTGGAACGTGGTGTGTTTGTCTCCCAGTTAGTACAAGCCACGCTGTAGTGGAACGTGGTGTGTTTGTCTCCAAGCTAGTACAAGCCACGCAGTAGTGGAACGTGGTGTGTGTGTTTGTGTGTCTCCCAGCTTGTACAAGCCATGCTGTAGTGGAACGTGGTGTGTTTGTCTCCCAGCTGGTACAAGCAACGCTGTAGTGGAACGTGGTGTGTTGTCTCCCAGCTAGTACAAGCCATGCTGTAGTGGAACGTGGTGTGTTTGTCTCCCAGCTGGTACAAGCAACGCTGTAGTGGAACGTGGTGTGTTTGTCTCCAAGCTAGTACAAGCCATGCAGTAGTGGAACGTGGTGTGTGTGTGTGTGTGTGTGTGTGTGTGTGTGTGTGTGTGTGTGTGTGTGTGTGTGTGTGTGTGTGTGTGTGTGTGTGTGTGTGTGTGTGTGTGTGTGTGTGTGTGTGTGTGTGTGTGTGTGTGTGTGTGTGTGTGTGTGTGTGTGTGTGTCCCAGTTAGTACAAGCCATGCAGTAGTGGAACGTGGTGTGTTTGTCTCCCAGCTAGTACAAGCCACGCAGTAGTGGAACGTGGTGTGTTTGTTTCCCAGCTAGTACAAGCCACGCAGTAGTGGAACGTGGTCTGTTTGTCTCCCAGCTAGTACAAGCCACTCAGTAGTGGAACCTGGTGTGTGTGTGTGTCTCCCAGCTAGTACAAGCCACGCAGTAGTGGAACGTAGTCTGTTTGTCTCCCAGTTAGTACAAGCCACGCAGTAGTGGAACGTGGTGTGTTTGTCTCCCAGCTAGTACAAGCCACGCTGTAGTGGAACGTGGTGTATTTGTCTTCCAGTTAGTACAAGCCACGCAGTAGTGGAACGTGGTGTGTTTGTCTTCCAGTTAGTACAAGTCACGCTGTAGTGGAACGTGGTGTGTTTGTCTTCCAGTTAGTACAAGCCACTATGTA